GAACTTGCGGAATAATGTCTGGTAATTAGCTCCCTAAACACACCCTTTCCCCCTCAACGCTAACAGTTTTTCGGGGAAAATGCCTTACTGCAGTAACATTTTTTGCTTTCTTTATATGCTTAGTTCTTTTGTGTTAGAGGTAGTTTGGTGCAATAGTAATAGAGAATTAGTTTTTAGTGAATTGTTTTCAGTTTCGACAAACCGTTTCGTTGTTCTTCTAGCTAGTGAGTGCTGCTCTGCTGCTCTTAGGGTTAACCCTAACCCTAAGATAGTTCTCTTAGTCCATGGCACCTTGAGGAGGTTTGATGATGCACAAGGCATCCATCAACAGTTCTTAAGCCTTTGACTCTTGTGCATATTTCACATAGTACTTCTTACTTTACTGAATATTTCCCCTTATAAATAAAGATATGGGCTTGTTATTTAAAAATGTGGTAGTTAAGCTTTATATGAAAAGAATAAAAAAGACGAAGTCGGGTTTTTTAGAGGATTGGTTTTTTGCTTGTTCAAGTTTCATCTTCCTAATCATTTTCATTGAATCCTTGGCTGGCATCTTTCATCTTTTCTTCAGATATTCCTTTTCGAATTTACCAATTCAAAATCTCAAAAGAGTTTCAGGACGTGTTCACCGATCGTAATCTGGTCAACGTGCAACAGTATTAAGATGCTGTCAATACTCAATTTTTAATAATGCGAGACGTCGTCCCTGCGGAGTTTACCCAATATTTAATGGCGACGCCATAGCTTTTAATTGTCGTGATCGAGTCCTAACACCTGCCGGCAAATAAAGAGAAAGCTTAAGCTTGTTGAAGTAACGCGTTTAACTACCTCCACAGTCAATTTTACATGTCTAATGGGGAAAAGTGTTGCCAGCATGGAGACCGAAAACAATGCATTCTAATCCTAGTTGTATGCGCGAAGTTTGTCATCATAGACCTAGTAGCCTGGCACGCGAATCCTTTAGTTCAGTGGTAAAGCTTCCGAAGTACTAATCGGAAGATCGTTGGTTTGACTCCTATTGGGGGCACTCTGAGTTCTTTTTCTC